CTACAGGTAATACAGAGAGCGGAGCCAGGACTCAAGCCTGGGTCTGTCCGCCCAAGCAGGGGTGCCGCTGTTTCCCTGGGCTGCCTCTCTTGAGTAGACAGTCACCAGGGCTCCTACAATTCTTAATGTCTCACACCTTTCCCCACATTCGATCCTGGAACAGCCCTGGGGGGTGAGCACTAGTAGCCACTTTAACGGCCAATGGAGGCACAGAACGGCATTGCCCACGGCTCCCCCTGGTGGTACCTAGTGAAATCCAGCCAACGCAGGGGGTCGTCCATCTTCCTGAATCTTTCCTGGAAGAAATGGAGCCTGCTCTCTCATGACACCCCAAGTCCTCTTGGTCCTGGGTGACACAATCCTAGCAAACAGGGAGACAAAGGGACTAAAACCGCCACCTCCAGATGACATCTAGCTGCAGTAACACACGCTGGCATCAACGGGGCACTCAGCACACGGGGCCCTGGGTGTGCCCAGGCTACACGGGAGCAGCAGCCTCATCACCGTCACTGTCACCCCATCTCACAGAGGAGGTCCTGCACGAGAAGTCGAGGGAGACGGAGAAGGGCGTGGGCAGCCAGAGCGAGATGGCGAATGAGGACCAGGGGACGCAGCCAGAACAAAGGAGCAGGAGAGGGTCTTCCAACAAGGTCAACAGTTGACAAAAGTGCTCATGGACGCCAGCAGGGGACCGAATCAGACAGCCACTTCCACCCCAGTGCCCTTAAGTGGGGGAATACAATAGAAAAACTAAAATGGAGCGCGTGGACAGGGAGGAGATGAGGAAGGGAGGACACTCCAGGGACCGCACAAAGAGCAGCCAATTCCCCCACCGGCCTCGGGCTCTGGGCCCTGCTCTCTGGAGAAGTCTGTCGCTGCTTTTGCAATCACCCTGCGGCTTGCTGACTCTCGCTGCGTCCTGTCCTTCAGTTCTGTGCTGTGCAGACAGTGGACCAAGATCCGAGACGGTAACAAAGTGATCAAACTGTTTCCAAAGGAGAACAGCCTTAGGACTGGGTGGCTAACGTCCCCATCAGGTGGCCCCACCTGAAACTGCACCCTCTCCAGTCCTGTCCTAAGAAAAGGGATATCTGGGGACTCCCCTAACGTCTGGAAGAGCCACGTTTCCACCAGACACCGTGACCAGAACTTCTGGTGGATCCCAAAGTCTCCCAAGCCTGACAGCTGGGCACAGAAGTCCTGCAGCCAGGTTTTCCTGGGGACAGTCCCACCTGCTCACAGAGAACCGCCAGCCCCTGCCAAGTCCTGCTGCCTCTGGGGCCCTCTAAGGCTGCCGGCTGGTGGTCAGCACTGCCTTCTCCACCCCCTGCCCCCGAGCTCCGTGCAGAAGTCTGCTCTCAGGAGGTGCCCGCTGGGGACAACCTGTGTCCAGGTGAGGCTGCTGCCCCATGTTCCCAGCACTGTCAGGCCCTGAGATGCCACCCAGATGCTGAGACGCATGCAGAAGTGGGAGGAGAGTCCCCACGCTGTGCCACACAGACCCTTCGGCATGTTGGCAGGATCTTACGAGGTCTCTGATGGAGGTCTCTAGTGTTGGCTCTGAGCGTGGCCCCTTGCTCTCTAGGAATCCACGGGATCGGGCAGAACTCGTGCCTGTTCCCAGCACTCCTCTCTTCTCCTTCAGCCTAACGGTCCTTCCGTGCCCAGTGCACAGTGACTAAACCAAGGACATCAGGCGGTCATGACCTTCTAGTTCCTTCTAGTTAGGGTCACTGAAGATAAACTCTGTGTCCTGAGACTCTGTCCTAGAACGACCCTCTGCCCAGCCCCATCCTGTATCTTATGATGGCTTCACTCACATGTGGGCTTCAGTCTGGCCCTAGGAGAGGGAAAAAACACCCTGGGGTTTCCCACTGCAGGGTACGTGCTCATACTGTGAGAATCCAGCACAGGGAACAAAAAACATCCACAGACCACAGTCACTGGGAGTCGGGTTTGGATCTTAACCAACTGCTTTCTTGCTGTGAGACTCTGGGCAAGTTGCCTAACCTCTCTGTCCTCCCATTCTTTGTGTTGAATATCGGAATGACAATACCTCCCTCTAAGGGTCTGCGGCATTCAGATGAGGGATGGATGGGCCATTGCAGGTTTTATGGCGTAGGCGAATCTAAAATAGTTCAGCAAGACTTTGGTGCTAATTGCCGCAGCTCTTAACCTTGAGAGTAGTGAGGCGCGTACAGAAGTCTGACCTTTTGAACAAGCACACACCTATCGTGAGTTCCCGATTATTTAAGACATCTAATATCGAACCTTATTTCCTTCATAAATAACAGTGACCCAAGAGCTGTAGAAATTACTTTTTTTTTTACAGTAGAATGAGAAAGCATCATTTAAATCCTCATCGTTAAATCCTTCCCTACTTAACACCACATCGCGCGTCTGCCTTCAAATTATCCTTGCAAATAAAAGACTGCTGTCTCACCACTGCTGAATTGATGATACCTTTCTGATTGGGGTGTCCAGGGACGATTTCCCTTTCTGTATGAAGTGGTGGGTTTGTGAAATTCCTCGAACACAGAAGGCAGGTTCTGCAGCACGGAAACAGGGCCATTTCTGTTCAGGTTTCAAAGTAAGCAAAATGCAATTTCATTCTGTCACTGACATCTTCCGCCTCCCTCCCTCCCTCCTTCCCTTCTTTATCACATGCTCAGACCCACAGGAGACAGAAGTGTCCACGTGGCCCCTGGTTTCTCTGAGGATGGCTGTGGCTAATGGCAAAACCTGCCAAGTCTTTGCCCCGGCCTTCGTGAAATCCAAGGAACACTTTGCAGAAATAAAAATAAGAGATGAAAAAAAAAAAAAGACAAGCCAGGCCATGCCGAAAGCATGAGGCTTTCAATGTCTCTCTCGATCTATAGCACTTCAGAGACCAGCTACATCTTCTGGGTAACAGTCATGACCCAAAATAACAGATCCCTTTCACCTGGGTTTATTTGCCCAGCAGTGGTGACTTGAGATTTGTAATAACATCATTTTGGAAGTAAACAGGTCTTACATGGATAGTGTGAGTAAAAACTTTTGGAGTGTGGGGTGCACTGGCACACTCCTGTAACCCCAGCAGCCCGGGAGGCTGAGGCAGGAGGATCTAGAATTCAAAACCAGCCTTGGCAACTTAGCGAGGCCCTAAGAAACTCAGTGAGACCCTGTCTCTAAATAAAATACAAAAAAGGACTGGGGATGTGGCTCAGTGGTCAAGGGCCCCTGAGTCCAATCCCTGATCCTCCCACCCCCCCCCTCCAAAAAAAAAAAAAAACCCACTTTTGGTGTCCCAGGGCACTGTGCATGAACTCCAGCCTCTGAAGCCTCCCTGTGCTCTCCCCTGTCAGGTGAGCATGGTTGTCATTAGGGACTGAGCTCCTGTCTCTGTGAGACCCTGCTGCCAACGTTACGTCATTTTTCCACTTGACGTGCTAAGGGACAAGCGGTCCTTCCCCTCACTCACTTGAGGAAGATGCACCAGCTAATGTGGCTACAGACCCAATTATGAGGTTCCATCCTGCCCTGTTTACCTCAGTGAGCTCCCGGGTCAATAATGAAAACCATTAATGGTCAATTAGCTGGAGACCTCGGCTGAGAATTCTGCACCTTCTCACTTCTCCATTTCTGGTCCGACACAAAACCCTGAAGGACAAGGTCAGAGCAAGTCTTGTTCTCTGTGCTGGAGGACAGACAGCTGCATTGATAACAGGATCGGAAGGGACACGGAAGTCTTGAAACTCCCAAATTTCCCTGCCACCAGCCAGCCATGATCCCGCTCTTCCTGACGGGCGGCATGCTAAAATTTTTGGAGGTTCTTTTAAATGCCAATCCCTGGCCCTGCAATAGACATTACTGAGTGTACTCTGAGAATCTAATTTTTTTTTTTTTGCACACTTTCACTTTATTGTAGTTTCCCATGTACCCCCTGCCCTTCAACAAAGGGAAAGAACTTTAAATTACATTTCAGTTAGGTGGAGAAGAAACTATATTCTACAAACAGAAAATCATCAGAAGATAGAAAAGCCCAGATTATTATATGTGCTATGCCCTTTTGAAGTCGCCTGATGGATTTTATGAGTGTGATGTGAAGGGATCTCTCTGTATCATCTCATGATTTTCTTCCCAAACTCAAAGAAGATTTTTTTTTTTTGCTCCAAACTGTGTTGCTATGAAATGTACATCTGAAGTCTCATTCATGTGTTTACAACTTCTGCTTTTCTTCTAGGATATTGTCAAAGCCATGGTTCCTTGAACAGACTCTAGTGGCTTCCACTCTAGTACTGGTTTGCATGGTAGATATTCTGGTCTCCCATTCTCAATCAGCAAATGGATTGTTTCTGACAGGTTCCTTGATCATGTACTAGAATACTAGAATGAAATGGATGGTTTCAGGGTGGTCCTTGTGATAAGGAACCTTGGGTGGGGAGAGGGGATTGTGAGTGGAGAGATACAGAGATATAGAGGGAGAACAAAACAGTATCATATGAAGCTGCCTGTTTTAAGAAATTCAAATCCAATGCTGTGAAGAGAGGAATGTCTGCTGTTCTTGTCACCCTCACAGGCACGGAGGGAGCAGGGCATGGTCTCATTTAACTAGCAAGAAGTCTTAAGCTCAGAAGGAACTCACTTGAAGGCTATTAGTTCATCAGTGCACAGGGGAAGAGGTTAGTGGCCAGAGCACACACTGAGATGGCCCAGTCTCCAGGGTGCCTCACTTGACCTTCCGCAGGTGGTGAAAACTCTGTACGGTCCTCTCCACAGCGTCATCCATGGTGACCAGTGGCTGGGACCCCATGACCTTTTTGGCTTTTTCACAGCTGTAGTGGTGGAAGGTGCCAGCCAGTGCAACCCGCCTTGGTGTGAAAGTGGGCTGGAGCTGGATGATGGGACTGACCACCATTACCAGCAGGGACACCAGAAGGGCCACCAGTAGGGGATGTGGTATTTGGGGGCCTCATAATTAAGGCCTGTCAGGATGCGGGACAGGAACGTCCAGAAAGGGATGGGTTCATCGTTGGTGATGTGAAATGCCTTCTCACCCAGTGCTGCATCCTGGGAGAGGTGCTCTGCAGACAGGATGTGTCCATGGACCACCTTCTCCACGAAGGTGAGATCTACCGTTATCATCATATTGCTGGTTCTTCCCGTTTCCAATCATGAACTTCATCTGGCCCTTCTCAGCTGCCTCAGTGAGGATGGGGACCAACTGGGGATCTCCTAGGCCAAAAATGCCATGGGGACGGATAGCTGTGGCTAAGAAATTTCTCTCAGGGTCACTGGCATCCACAACTGCTCTCTCTGGTAGGATCTTGGTCTCCGTGTAGTAGTCTATGGGTTTCGTGGCATAAGGAAGGTCTTCGGTTCCATTTTTGATGTCACTGCCCTCAAAGATGACACTGGCACTGCTGGTCAAAATGAGTTTCTGAACTCCAGCCTTTTTGCAAGTTTCAATGACCTTGCCAATGAAATTCACTCTATAAAGGAGCTCCTTGTTGTTACTGGATGGTGGGGGTGATGCACAGTGGAAACCTGTGCCTACACCTTTCAGAGCTGGGTACAGGTCCTCTTGGTTGCAGAGGTCACCCAGAAAGAACTGCACCCGGGGATTCTCGAAACCTTGCCGGATATCAAATACGCTGACGGTGTAGCCCCTTGCAAGCAACGGCTCCGCCATGTGCTGCCCCAGGAATCCAGAGCCTCCCATCACTGTGCAGTTCTTGACCTTGGGAATGTCCTCTATCACATGGATCCGCGTGTCCTGCTCTCTCACTGGCTCACCAACTGCTTGTTCTATTATGGCTCAAAATATGGTCTTGCTTACACTCAACTGTTCTTCTTCCCGTCTGTCTGTAGGCGCTCTCTCAGCCTGCCTCCGCTTGTCCGTGACCTACACCCACAGAGTTCCAGCTGCGGACCACCACTCTCTTTTCCTAGCCTGCATCGAGGATCCGAATTTTAAAAAGTGACCCAGCGGGTTCTGAGAAAATTCTCCATTGTATTTCTTCACGGGCACTTTGGACCCACAGGTTTGGAAACACAGATGAGAACACCACCTACCTTCGGCAAGCATCAGCAACCCTTAGATGAAGATGTTTCTTATTTCTAAAAAGCTCTTTGCAAAGATTAACTGATTAGACAAAACTGTGACACCCCTGTCTCTAAGACACAGTTCCATATGGAGGGAGGCCAGATGACTCTTACAGGGTCTTTGTCCCCAGTGTCCACACTTGGAAATTGTTCCTCTTTTGAGAACATGCTTCTAGTTCTGTAACTTTCCTGCATAAAAGAATAATGCTTGCACGGTCTTTAACCTGATAAGGAGACACATAGAGATTGCTGGCATAACTCTTTAGATCTGCTTCTCTATCAGAGAGCAGCACTCCACCTGATCCCAGCTTTATCTTCAGAATCTGCATGTGTGAGTCTTTATTTTTCTAATCCCCCATCACCCCTGGCTGGAACCGCAAGTTTGGCTGCGCTGGTCAAGGAAACTCAAGACTGTAGAACAACAAAAGTGGGCGAGAGAGAGAAGTCCCTGAGCTCATGAACCTGACATTCTTTGTGTGTTAGAGGGGCAAGAAATAGTGGTTTTGTAATATGGAGAAAAATAAACAGGGCCATGTACTAATCACCTAGTAACAGGTATATTAGTCCATTTTCTATTGCTATAACGAAATAGCTCAGGTTAGATAACTTATAAAGAAAAGAGGTTTATTTAGGTCATAATTCTGAAGGTTCAAGGGCATCCCAGCAACTGGGGAGGACCTTGTAGCAGCCAGCAATATGATGATAAGAGTGTGTGCAAGAGGGAGAGATCACATCACCAGTTAGGAAGTCAGAGCAAGGAGAGGGTTGGACTCATTTTTTTATAAACAGCGCTCTCAAGAAAACTAATTCAGGGTCCTATGAGAACCAACTACTCTAACCCCTTCCCAGAGCAGCATCCCCAGAGGCCCCCACTAGTCTCCACCTCTTAAAGGGCCACCACCTCAACACACCACCATGAGAATCAGGCCTCTAACCCAGAACCCCTGGGGCAAAGCCACCTGTGAACCACAGCACAGCACGGAGCTGGGAGCAAAGAGAATCCCCTGTCACAGGGCCATCCAGGAAGGTGCTTCAGGGCAAGTGCCATTTACACCGAGCTATTGTTTCTTCCGTGCAGGAGGGAAACTGAGGCAAGGAGCCCATGGGGCAGAGCAGGGACCTGCTGGGGTTCTGGACCCAGGTTCCCCTCTATTTCTGAGCTGAGTTTTAAGACGTGGCTTCCCAGGGGGCAGAGTGTGGCTGGGACCGGCTTCCCTGTAACACAGCCACCACCGCAGGCTGGCTGTAGGGGAGGGGTTCAGAGCTCCACCTCACGATCACCAACATGGACCCAAGGACCCTGGCAGTCCCGCTGCCCCCCAGCTCTGGGAACTTGAAAGCAAGGGGGACCACAGCCCAGATCCCTTGGAAGCTCTGGGTTTTTTCCAAGGGTTGAGGGATCAGGACCATAGTGGACCATGACATTAGCAGGTTGGTCCCCTGCCTGACCCATCCATCATCACTGGGTGAAAGACACCACCCTCCCTCTCCCCTCCCCCAGGAAGGGGGACCACAAGTCTCAAGGCTCTTTCCCTTTCCTACCTGGAGACAAGTCACGAGCATACTTGCAACAGAGACGCCGACCGACAGGAAGAGGCCAAGCCCACCTCACGTATCGATTCTCCAACGAGTTCAGAGGATGTGGATTAGATGCTCGGGCTGGAACCTGCTGCAGTAATTGGGAGATCAGACATTCGCTCTTATATGCTATTTGAAGCCATTTTCCTTTGGGGAACTTGCTTTTTTTAAAAATGCATTTCTGATTTGGCCCAGGATTTTAGAATAATGGTCGCTTCTGGTGCTTAGAAAAACAAAAGATTCCGATCCTGCTTTCAGCTTCCAAAGGCGAGCCGTCTTTTCGCCAGCACCTGTTTCAGGACACATTAGCCTCTTTTGCCCTGGCTCCCGTGTGCTCTTCCTGTCTGGGCTCGTTCGGGCTGGGAGCCTGCCCGTGTGTGTGTTAGCGTGAGAGCTCTGTGGCTTCTGGTCTGGTGCCTGACTATGTGATGGCAGCAGAAATTCACCTCAGCACATTTCCATCCCAAACCCTCTGTCCCTTGTCATGATGCTGTCGTCCGTACAGAGGCCAAGGCTGAATGGCTGCCCCGAGGATGTCCTCTTCACACCGGTGCATTCTATCCCAGCCACAGTATTGTCACAGAGGTGCTTCCATTTTTGCAGAGCCCAGGACAAGGACACAAATGGAGCCCCTCATCCTGTGCCTCTAAACATTGAAAATGACAACCAAGATACACTCAGGGGCCAAAACTTGTTCCCCAAGACGCGCCCTCTTGGAGAACCTGGAGGTGAAGGAGACAGGCTGTCCCCTCCCTGGCCACCGACAGCCTGAGTAGCAGAAAGGACTAGCTTGGGCAGCTCGGCAGAAGCTGGGGGAGAGGGAGGTCAGGGTTACTGGGGCGACTGGCCCCATCTGGACCTGGGGCAGGGCTGACCTGGGCAAGCTCCAGGGGTCGGTGTGCAGGTGCGCTGCTGCTGACTCGGGACTTCCTGTCCCCAGGTCACACCAGCTGTGCAGAGGGCGGGAAGGGGAACCTGTCTCAGGGCAGCTTTCTCAAGGGCACCCTCGTTTGCTCCAATTCCCAGATACAGCCTCTCATTGCCCCCTTACCCACCCCGAGTGCCCTCTGTCCCACACCTCTGGCCTGGGGAGCCCAGCCATCCTCCTTTGCCCAGTCCCACGGCCCTTCCAGTCCCCACTCCAGCCCTGAACGCCCATTCGCTCTATCGGGTGCCAAACATGCAAAATGCTTCCTCACAAACACAAAGTCCCTGTGCTTTGGTGATTTGGGAAAAGGGGTCCCCTTACGGCACAGGCCCTGGACAGGGGTCCCTCTTCCCCAGGCTCAAAAGGCTGGAGCTGGGGGACTGGAAGGGCCGTGGGACTGGGCAAAGCGTGCCAGTCCATTAGGTGGACCTGGCAGACGACGGCTTCCCTCTGTAACCGTGTTCTGATGGCATCAAGGACGCACCATCTTCCCGCATGGCAGGAAGCTCTGGGACCACCGTCAGCCAGGAGACAGTCACCCGGGGCCATCTCTGGCAATATGAATGCAGAAGCAGCACAGGGTTGGGGACATGCCACCCTGGTGGGCCACCCAGAGGGAGTGTCCAGGGGCTCCTGCTTCCTGGATCTTTGCGGGTTCTCTGGAATCTACCCGTTCTTTAGCTTCATCTTCTGCCCTCTGAGCTGCTGCCTGCATCCGATCAACCCCGTTCCACTAACCTGCCAGGGCTGGCTTCCACCACTGCTTCCAAAGCCCTCACAGGTCATTAGTCACACAACCCTCACGTTACCGAGGAAAGAGATGGCGCCATCGGCCGACACGGAGTCAAGCTTCACACAACATGAGTTTTCCTTCTGATCATGTCATTTGCCTGCCAAAACCCAACAATGGATTCTCCCAGTGTCCTCCACAGCCCCTCCGTCCCCAGCCACTAACACGGCCCATTCTCCCATGCACCCAGATCTGAACACGTGTGAGCAACCTGCCTCTCCATCTCCGTGTGTCACTTCCTTCTCATGGAAGCTGCACCCTCTGGTCCACTTGACAACCTCCACAGAAGGCGCCCCCTAGTGGCCTTGGAAGCACTTCTGCACAGAAGGCGCCCCCTAGTGGCCTTGGAAGCACTTCTGCACAGAAGGCAATGGTTCCAGAGGGGGTGCATGTGCTGTGGGAAGCGTCCCTCTCCCAGCAGGAAGAGCACGGTCTTCAGCCACTCTGCCACATGCATAGCTGCCCTCCATCTTGAACAAAGGAGGATCCTTGGGCCCAAAGTCTACCGGCCACATAGCTACTTAGGAAGGCAGGCCCCGCGCACTTCTCTTTTTTCCTTAATATGTTTCTGGTTGTAAATTGACACAGTATCTTTTTATTTATTTATCTTTATGTGGTGCTGAGGATTGAACCCAGGGCCTCACACATGCTAGGCGAACACTCTACCGCTGAGCTACAGCTTATTACAATTAATTCTACTCTTACTTTATAATTGAAGAATAGTGTCGGGGTCCTCAACCGACTGACGTTTGGGGAAATCCTGGCGTACAGCTATTTGGGGAGCATGAGACCACGGCTCCTGGTTAGGACCTGCGCCTCCACCAGGCAGTGAGAATGTTCCACTCAGTCCCGTGCAGCTGGTCCCGGGGCGGATACGTGACCGTAGATAGGGGGGAGTTCGTGATAAAACAGCTGAATTAATAAATAAAAGACCATTAGCTCAGCTGTCAGTGGTCTGGAAGTGGTAGCGAAACGCGAGCCAGCTAAAATAACGGCCGTGTAAAGAGGTGCGCATTGACTCTGCTCAAGAGAACGTGTTCTTCAAGCAGGCTGTAATCCCCTCTTACCAACACGCTCCCAGGTGCACCCCGTCTATTCAGGGAAACAGACCTGGCTGGACCTTTAATCGCTCATCCTGGAGCCTATTAACTGGGCTCACTGCGCATGTGGGTCCCAGTGTCCCTCGGCTGGAGCGGCCTTCCCTGCACCCACTCCCCACTCTGTGTAACTTCCCCGTCAGCTGATACCCAGCTCCCCCCGCTGTTCCTCCTTGGCTCTGATCACAGTTTTCAACTATGTATCGATCATTTGATTTCTGATCGATACATATTTGGTACTAGACGCCAAGCTTCCTGAGTAGAGAAACCCAGTCTACGCTCCTAATGCCCGATTCTGGCTCCCGGCTTGGGCTACGGCTTTGTAGGTGCTCAATAAATACTGATGAATGACCGGCCGAGTGACCTGCGTGTGTCATTTATTTTAAACAATTAGCCGATTCAGTCCAGCCTTGCCTCCACTTTGCCCAAATACACAAGGTTGATAAACATGAGCCAAGACCTCAACAAAACCGTTTAGAGAGCCTGAGATTTCAGAG